CGTAGATAGTGGACGGGTGATGCTTGGCACGGAATTCATCAAAGACGCGCTGCCACAGAACACCAGGTGCAACAGAGAACTCCTTAATGGCGCGATCTTGGAGCTCCAACGACATGTCGCGGCGAACGTCTGCGACCTCTTCTAAAATGTCTTGGTCGCAGCAGTGGGCATTTCTTTCGATGATAGCGCCCCCCTTCTTGACTACAAGACGTGCTGGACAGCCTGCCCGGAACTTCACGCAGCTGAAATAGGTTGTTCCTGTCTCCACTACGGTGCGCTTCTTACAGAAGCGGTAGTTCTTGTGCTCCATGGACGAAGTTGAGAAGTGTCAACAGATACGTACACAATGTAGTTCTGCATGATTGGTTCCCGTCAACTTTTAAATAACCTCAATCCAAAGTCTGACTCAAAATAGGTTTTAGGATGTGTCCTAAACTTCCGTCTAAAATACCGGTTTTTAGTTTTGGACAGTATTAGGATTCGAATATATTTCGGGATTTAGAACACTTTTAGGATACATTTTGCAATCTATTCCAGTAATTTACGACGTTTTTTAGGATTTTGTAGGACATTTAGGACAGGATTAGTACAGAAAATTCGACACCTAAAATACAAGTGCACAAGAGTGCTATTGTATCCAAAATACCTTTCTAGTAATTGAGCAATGCATCTGGAGTTGTTGGTCTATGATGTTTCTCCCTGGTGTATTATAGTGTAAACCAAGGCTTATGGGTTTCCTCCATTATGGACTATGGGTCCAGAATGGATGGAACTGAGATTTTACCCTCTCCATCCATAGTCCATAACCATTGTGGACCTGCTTTGAGGAGCCTACGTTCCTTCTATCTTCGCCATGGTGCTGGACTTGGTGTTGCTATTGATGTTGCCACGGATCTTTTCAACGCTCATAGTGGAGAAACATTCGACACTGAGTAGAAGTAGTAGTAGTAGAAGAAGAAGACCCAGTCCAGCGGTGCACGCACTTAATCCAAAACCGCTGAGCACGCTCTCAGGTCCACACGAAACGCGTAATAAGTTGAAGTACCATAATACATGGATCTCTGTTTACATTTCCAGAAGATACTTCAACTCCACAACGATCTTTCTACTACAGTCCATGAGCAGAGTGGTTACCGCAACCTTAAGCCAAGGGAGGGGGTGAATGCTGAAATCTTGAAGCTATGCCTGTGGTTTAAGCTGTATATTCGGAACACCCGGATTTAAGTCTAGAACCAAGCATGATCGCATTTAGACCCTTTTAGGGCTTGCCACCATTCGTTGTGTCTTCAGCGGTGAGGCTTTGGTGATACATATCCTACCAGCAACTCCATTTTTGAAGATTTGAAGGCTCATGACACCCGTCCTCGGACAGGGTTAGGTGTTTAGGTTCACGGTTTTTGGGTTGCGTTAATTTGACTAAGGTTGTTTTTGGGGTCGCTTTAAGGTGTAAGGTTGCTGTAACGGGGTACGAACCCCAGTGTACCCAAGTTACATGAAGAGTGACCAGTCACTCTTGTAATACCTGGTACATGGTACCAGAGGCTCTAGGAGCCAATCATTGCATATCTACATAGTTTTACTATAGGTGACTTATAGTTTGTATTAGAAACCAAGCTAAGCTTACCTATAAATACATTCAGTCTTAAACGTACCCTTTATTGAGTATTTCGTCCCCTCAGACCAGGGACACGTGAACTGTCGTTCACTTAGAGTGTGTATACTTTTGGAAGCCTACTTTCTCAGCGCAAGGTGCTGTGTGACCCCGTCACATAACTCGAGGCATACTGCACGTTCAATTGCCGCACGGTCAAGTGTCACCCGCTCTAGCTGTGTCACCCGCTCTAGCTGTGTTACTTGGTCTCATCAGTCTGTACCCCTTCTTGAGATCACTGGCTTCTTCCCTGCGCTGCCCAAATGACGGAATGAGCTATTTGGGCTCTTCCTAAAATACTCGCAGATTAGTGTCGACCACTCAAATAAGGGCAGTCTTCTGTGGAATTCTCTCTCAGATGTGTTTTTACACTGTTTAACCCTTCTAATACGATCGTTACGGATTTTCCTGAATTCGTTTATACGATTGATAATATTCAGCGTTCTCCGCAACAAACTTTGGAGAACCTCAAATCCACATATTAAAATTTGTATGGGATAAATTTAACAGGACAATTGTAGCCGCTTTGGCCGGTCAGACATGGGATTTTCGGGAAGCGGCTAGGGTTGCCGGTATAAGAAGTGAGGGAGCTGCCAGCCGTTCATTTTGAGATCTGCGCTGCGAGAGATA